TAGAATCAGTGGGCTAACAACAATAAAAATAATAACAGCAATAGTAAAATAAAAGGACATGAACTCAGGAGGGAGACAGGTTGGTTGTCCTACAGTGTAGGCAGAGGCTGCTTATTTGTTTCCCAGCTGCCCAGACCTGAAATAATCACACAGAAATTATATTAGTTACAACACTGCTTAGCCAGTCACTTAAGTGTATTGCTAGCTAGCTCTTATATCTTAAATTAACCCATTTCCATTATTTTATATTTTACCACAAGGTTTTGTAAGGTTCCCAGGCATTTGTCTCCTTCAGAGGCTACATGACATCTCCCTGACTCTGCCATTTGTTTGTTTGTTTGTTTGTTTTGTGACAGGGTTTCTCTGTGTAGCTTTGGTGCCTGTCCTGGAACTAGCTCTGTAGACCAGGCTGACCTCAAACTCAGAGATCCTCCTGCCTCTGCATCCTGAGTGCTGGGTGTAAAGGAGTGTGCCACCACTGCAACTCCACCTTCTTTCCTCCTGTATCTGCTTGGAATTCCCACCTTTCTCTATTCTGCCCTGCCATAGGCCAAAGGAGCTTTATTCATTAACCAATTAAAGCAATACATATACAGAAGGACATCCCACAACACTTCCCCTTTTCTGTCTAAGTAAAAAGTAAAATTTTAACTTTAACATAGTAAAATTACATATAGCAAAACAGTTATCAAACAAGAACTATAGTTACAATATTAGGTCCACTTACAATTATAATTACAACTATCTATTCTTCAACTCCATTAGAGACCCCAGAAGGATATAATATTACCTAAGTAAACAGGAAGTTCATTGTAAGCAACTTTCAAAACTCTAGAATTGACAGAGACATCTTGCTGCCTGGACAGTCACCCAGAGTTCTTTTTTTTAATATTTATTTATTTATTATATTATGTGTATAGCATTCCTTCCACGTGTGCCTGCAAGTCAGAAGGGGGCGCCAGGTCTCATTATAGATGGCTGTAAGCCACCATGTGGTTGCTGGGAATTGAACTCAGGACCTCTGGAAGAGCAGTCAGTGCTCTTAACCTCTGAGCCATCTCTCCAGCCCTCACCCAGAGTTCTTTTGTAACATTGGGGCATCCATCTTCAGCCTACTGGCCCATAATATCTGGCAGACTTTTCCATGAAGCAGGAAATTTGAAAGACTGTTTTGCCTCTATTGGCAGTTTGTCAGTCACTTTCTTCTGTGTCCTGCAGAAAGTCTGGCATACTCTTTTATGAAGCAGAAACCCTGAAGGACTGTCACACCCTCTTTAGGCAACTTCAGCAGTTATTTTTCTGTGGATCTTGCATGTCCAGTTCATACAGCATACCATCAAGCAGTCCAAGAAAGAGAAATTTCTTGCACAAATGGCTAACAAACTCCATAAGGAGACTATTGGATGCTCATCATCCTCTTGAAGTAGATTGGTACCTGCCAGGAGCAGATAAGTCTCATTGTCATGAAAAGTCCTAACTTCTTAAACATTTTAAATGCCATATTCTGTTACTCTTTGAAAGGTTTGAAGAATATCTATCCATCTGAAATAAATCTCTGTACATTTAGAAAACCCAACTAACATGACTACAAGCTTGACTATTATAGATAACTATCAATTAAACTGTATTTTTAATTATACATTACATTTTTATGCTGCACAAACACAATACCTTAATCAAGAGCAGCAATATAACAAAATTGACCTTAAATTTGTATCAATAAGCCAAGATCCATACCAATGCAAAATATTCATCTCTATAGCACCAGGGAAGAGTTTGGAGGGAGGAAGTAGGAGGTTTGATAAGATTAAAAAAATATTGCTTGCATATATTCAAGTTCAAAAACTGAATACAAAATATTACTTTGGGCTAATGGTTGTAAATCAGCACTTTCCCTGTGTACACAAAACACTAGCTTTGCCAGGCCTGGTGGTGCAGGTCTTTAATTCTATCTGCTCAAAAAGCTGAGGTAGGAGGATTGTAAATCAGGGCCCGCTTGAGCTACATAGTGCGATTCAGGCCAGCTAGTGATACACATGGAGAACTTTCCTGAATAAATAAATAAATTCCATATTGTAGCCAAAACAACTGAATACTTTTCTTTTTCATCATTCTGGGTCCTGCAGAAGTTGCCACTGGGTTCCACCTCCTCGGTGACCAGAGGGGACAATCAGATTAGTCAGTGTTTAGTTAGCATTGCCCTTTGACCTGTTCCCTGAGATAAGCTGTATCCAGAGCTTTCAGCCACAACCTGGCCAGATAACCAACCCCAACCTCCCCCATTTATTTCAATACCAATTTCTGTGTTAGGTGTAAAAGCAGGGTAAGTGGTATGTCGCCCAAAGACGTGTGCGTGTGAAATCCCTGAGGCCCAAGAATGAAATCAGATTGGGAAAAGGGGTCTTGACAATGAGATCCTTTTAAATTATCTTTATGACTTCTCGATTCAATGTTGCATCCTTAGAGACCCAGTAACATGGGGTAGAGGATTTGTTTGGTGACACAACGAGGAAGAATAGCCATGTGGTCACTGAGGTAGAGGCAGAAGTGATTCAGCCGCAAGCTAAGGATGGACAGACACAGAGAGCAGTCATTGTAGCTAGGAGACCCTGCAGATAACTTTCCCCCAGAGTGCTGGCAGTAAGAGTCACCTTATCCATAATTTTTGTTTGTTTGTTTGGGTTTTTTTTTGTCTTTTTGTTTGTTTGTTTGTTTGTTTTTTGAGATAGGACTTCTCTGTGTAGCCCTAGCTGTCCTAGAACTCCACCTGTAGACCAGGCTGGCCTCAAACTCACAGAGATCCACCTACCTCTGCCTCCCAAGTACTTAGATTAGAGGTATGTGTTACCACCCCCTGGACTCTCTCTCTCTCTCTCTTTTTTTTTTTTGAGATACAGTCTCTCTCGTGTAGCCCAGGCTGGCCTTAAGCTCACTACATAGCCAAGGATGGGCTTGAACGTCTTATTCTTCTGCCCCCCACCTCCAGCCCTCCAGTGTGTGGGGGCTGTACCACCACACCCAGTTTTATTTTATGAAGTGCTAGGGGTCTAATCTAGGCTGTGTGCATTCTAGACAAACACCTTATCGACTGAGCTACATCCCCATCTCCATCCACAACAGGAGTTCAGATATCTCACTTCCAGAACCGAGAGCAAATACAGCCCTGTCAGTTCAGATTCCTGGACATAGAGGGTTTTACTGCTACTGTCATGGTGGGAAGGCACAGAGAAGCTACTGAAGTTCCTGCTCCTATGGGGCATGGACAGATCAGGAAGGACAGTCAGTGACTGGCCTAATCAGTAAGCACTGGTGAGATCCCAGGCATGGACACATGCAGGAACTGGCAGCACCAAGGGGCATAGATAAAGGAAAATCTTCTGCAAACGCAGCCCAAACTGTAGAGCTAGGATGAACAGCCCACCCCTCAGGGGCCTGCCTTCAGATATCAGGTAAGTCACTTGATGGCTACTTCTACTAGCAGCCAAGGCAGGAAGATTATTAGGAACTCAAGGAGGTGGTGGGACATGCCTTTAATCCCAGCACTTCGGAGGCAGGGATAGGTGGATCTCAGTGAGTTCAAACCCAACCTGGTCTACAAAACAAGTTCCAGAACAGCCAGGATTGTATCACAGAGAAACCCTGTCTTGAAAAACAAACAAAACAAAATAACTAAAGATTCTCAAGGAGAATCATTAAGAACTTGAGAAGGAGCTGGACAGTGGTGGCACACACCTTTAGTCCAAGCACTCGGGAGGCAGAGGTGGGTGGGTCTCTGAGTTAGAGATCAGCCCGGTCTACAAAGTGAGTTCCAGGACAGCCAGGGATACACAGAAAAACCTTGCCTCAAAAACAAACAGCTGGAAAAAAGGCTCAGAGGTTAAGAGCACTGGCTGTTCTTCCAGAGGTCCTGAGTTCGATTCCCAGAAACCACATGGTGGCTCACAGCCATCTATAGTGGGACCTGATGCTGTCTTCTGGCATGTAGTCATACATGCAAATAGAGTAGTTATATACATAAAATAAATAAAATTAAAAAAACAAACAAAAGAATTGGTATTCTGAAAATTGGTTCTGCTTTGAGGGTGTTCATATTCCTTTTTCCCCTCCCTCCCTCCCTCCCTCCCTCCCTCCCAGGTCTTGTTATGTAGTCTTGATTGGCCTGAAACACTACCTATACTAAACTGGCCTCAAACTCAGAGATCTGCCTACCTCTGCCTCCCATGCGCTGGCCACCATCATCCTACCCTTAACCCTCCCTACCCGCTGATGTCAATATTCTTGCATTGGGGAAAACTGTGAAAATAACTTTATGAAGGAAAACGATGAACACGGGGTCAAAGTATGTTGCTGGGGTCTAAACGGAAGAGTGCAGAGGTGAGTGTTGAGTGCATGCTGAATTTCTCTGGGGCTGTTAGGACAATTCAGATGAACAGTACGTGGAGTGGTCGAGTTATATAGCTGCTTTTGAAACGATACATCCCACACAACAGTGAATAAATTAAGAAAAAAATCCACCCATCATTTGAGTGGGATGTCGATAATAACAGCAATAGGTCTGACAAAGTAACTGCAAAAAAGGAAATAAAACCGGAGAACAACGCTTCACTTGGAGCACTCCAACCCAAACATAAAGAAAAGCCGCAGGAACCATTATAACAGCATCAGGACTGGGAAGGTGCCTTAATGTTAACGCCTGCTCTTCCTCAGCATCTCCTCCGTGTTCCCCAGCAGCTCCTCCCTCTTCAGGCTCCGCCTCAAACCCAGCCCCCAAGTTCTCCCCAGCACTTAGGCTCCCGCGCTCCCCGCCCGCCCGCCCACTCCTTTATCCTGACTCCTGTCTTCCCCAGGCGTCTTTTCTCTTCTAGTTTTTCCCTTTGTCTTTACCACCTCCACCGACTCCCGCAATGTCCCTTTCCTCCCAAAACGCCCCTTCCTCCTCCGCTTCTTCAGGCTCCTAGGCTCAAGCCTCATCCTCTCCTCCCCAGTTCTTCTTCCTCATGCTCCTTCCCTACTCCTGTTTTCCTCTCATCCTGCCTCTTTCAGCTCCTCCCCATCTCCTAGTACGTCTTCCTCTCCCCGCAACACACACTTTCTCAGGATCCTCTTCTCTCTCCAGGCCTCTTATTCTGGATTTTGCTCTTCTTGACGTCTTCTTCCACCGGCTCTTCCCATCTCCCAGCTCCTCCCCTCTTCCCTCCCTTTAGATTCCCAACACGTTTTCTGTTCCTCCTTCTCCAGTTCCTCCTCCCCCTTCTCTTCCCTTCTCAACTCCGCCTCTCCCTCTGGGTCTTCCCCCGTCTCGCGGAGTGATCCATGGGTCCGTAGGCAGCCGGTCCTCGGCGCTCGACTCACCACGCCTGCGACGCTGCCATGGAGACGTAGCCGCGGCCTCCTGGACCCACCCCGGACCTGGAGCACCTGCGTCACCCGGCCCACGCGTGTCCACGCACGCTGGTCGGGAAGGCTACTCTGCTGGAACGTCTGGACAGGGCTGGGCAAGCTATACTTTTGCCAGAAGCAGGGGCGAGGGGCGTGGGACTTGCATCCTCCCTCCTACCAGGAGTTCTGCTCCGTATTTGAGGGACGCTTCTCTCACCAGCGGAGACCCTGGTATCACTAAGCATCCGTGGATTATTAAGGGACCTGCGATTGCCCACACGTCTCACCCTTCCACCCAGCTCAGCCGGCCGCATCCGTGAGTAGCTTCACTGAACTCTACCCCATCCAGGCTGCTGCTGATGGCGAGGCCCGTGTTGGGCCTGCTCCCGATGCCCAACACCTTCTTCCCTTTGCAGTGTCACCTATGTTAAGAGTGGAAGAGTAGCTAGAAGAAAAGGACTTGAACCAGCACTAAGTCCAGATCCCAACTGCGTTGTGAGTAGTGCGGACTGGTGAGCACCTTCTGTAGACTGTACAATGCCCGTTCTCTCGGGATCCTGGATATGTCTGAGTTCAGAAGTGTTGCAGAGGCAGTGGACACCTGAGTGTGTGGAGTGGAGTGGTGTAGAGGCTCTGCCAAGTCTATAGAACTCTATTGTGCAGAGTTTGGACCACAACGCCAATCTGACCCACTTTCTGTCTGGAATGACTCTCACATGGCGTTTGAACCGGGTCAGTGGTGTCTTGGCTTCCCCTGCCCTCCTGAGATCTTGCCCATGGAAGGTCTGAGTAGCCTACATCCATGACTAAGGTGAACAAGGACTCCTTAACCCAACAGCCATCAAGGCTCTTGGCCAACTAGTTAACAGAGCAAAGCAGCCAGCTGTTCCTGACCTAGGAGGAAAACCAGGTGTGCAAGAGCCTGGGACTGGGGGATGAGTGGCCGGGTCCCGCTGGCAGAGAAGGCCCTGTCAGAACGCTTTGCCCGCCTCCGGTACAGGGACACTTCCTTGCTCATTTGGCAACAGCAGCAGCAGAAGTTGGAGTCTGTACCACCCAGTACATACCTGAGCAGGAGTCGTAGCATGTGGTACTCCCAGTATGGAAATGAAGCCATCTTAGTTCGAGACAAAAACCAGCTTGGGGTCTCTAGGGACACCGGTCAGTCTAAGTTTTGCTCAGTCATGTAATCTCAGGGAGATGACCCTTGATGGATGTGAAGAGCAAGCTGTGGTATAAAAACTCAACACCCAAGAATATCACCCAGCCCTTTATCAATCAACAGCTGGTACCTAGATGTGCCCCTCACTGCCCAGGCCTTGGCGCTCACAATGCTTGTTCCAAACAAAAGGGAAACCAGGGAGACGTCCCCAGCTCCTATGAGCTGCTTGCCTGATACAAAATGGGTCAGGTCCCGGGTAAAGAGAGGACTCTCTTCTTGGAGGGTCCCAGATCTCTGTTCACCACAGTGACATGTGGAAAGGGGCCTGGGCTGTAGTGGCACTCCAAAGCCAAGAGTTTAGTGATGTATAGGTTACTGCATTGCAGCACCATCCACACTGGTCTTGTATGCAGGTGTGTTATGTCCTAAACACCTTAAGCAAACCCCTGCAATTTAAAGCCCCATCGAAGTCGCCTGATTTGATTCCAAACCTAATCATGTGTGGGAAAGAACATTTACTTGATGGTGGAGAATAGGGGCTCCTTCCTGTCAGGTCGCAGTGGGCTTCATTAGATCTCATGTTCCACCTCAGTACACATGGTATAGACAGCTGGAACGTACTTGCCTCTGGTGCACTTAAGGTCTGTGTAGCTATACAAATTCAGATGTGTTTTGTCAAAGCCGAGTCTTCTAAATAAATGTCTTAAGACTCTTTCCTTTCTCATTTACCTTGGTGTGTAAAACCTTAGCTTTCTGCACACAGTTAACAGCTAATGATTGATAAGGGAGCCCCAACATGGAAATACATCAAACAGCCACTGTCAGAAGGCATGCATGTCCTCGCACTCTGCAGCGACAAACTGCCAGTGGCAGTACCCCCACTTGCAACTTGTTCTGCCCACTCACCAGGCACTCACTGGCAGAGATGGCACCTGGCTTATAATCTAAGTAAAGAGAATGTCGTCTCACCCTTGGCTGTGTTCACTATACCCTACATCTCTTTAGAGATGTGCCAATTTGTTCTAGAACCACCAGGACACAGTGCATTCCTCAAACACTTCAGCCAGCCAGACCTAGCTAGCTGGAGCCTCCTGAGGAACCTAGGTCCTTTGGCTTAGTCCCCGCTGCAGACCAAGGCCATGGGTTGGACTTCTGTAGAATATCCCTGTACATTTAGAGAGGAAGCTCGTTGAATAGTTCAGGTTGCTTGGACCTGACAGGGAGTCCTAGGAGTTGGAAACTGTTCCCTTAGCTTGTCAAGCCTTTTAGTTCAGCTGAAGTCCTGCAGGAAAGCTTCAGACTTTCTGCCAAATGCTTCCACCTCACGCTATCCCAAGACTGCATCAGACACAGCACTGACTTGGAGATTGGATTTGAGGTCACAGACTGTGTTAGGAGAGTAAGCACTTGCAGGACAGCGGTCTTCAGGGTGTCGGCAGGAATGAGTGGCACATAAGCATCAGGCCCCATGTAGGGGACACTGGGAAGTCACTAAGCTGCTTAGACTACAGGAGGATGCCATCTGTCTAGGGAGGCCAGGTCAGTGCTGTAAGAGCCTAGTCTGATGGGAAGGGTTAGTGTCAGCAAGGATGACGAGGTAGCCTGACCCACTGTGGATGGAATGGACATGCCATAGGACCCGACAAGAACCTCCCGCCCAGGCTTGATGCCAATGGCTTGGCCACTTGGAAAACTTTAGGATTCTTAGACCCTAAAGCCCAACTCCCCATTCCTTCTTCACTGTGTCCAAGGCACTCCACAGCCTATTCTTAGTAATACAGGGTTCTTCATGATTCTCACCTACATTTCCACTGGCCTCACAACACTTGGAGGCCTATGCCACAAATAACCTGACAGTAGACTGCAGCAAGGAGGGGAGGGAATGGTTGAAACCGTCTGAGGAAAGCCTTGATACTCAGAAAGGCAGGCAGTCCAAGTGAGGACTTCCTGTCCCCCAGCACCATGATGGATGGCAGCTATTCCAAGTTCTTTGCTGCTGTCCTGCAAGAGTCTCCATTGTTATTGTGTAATAGGCTGGTCTTAAAGAATTCACAGCAGCCGGGCAGTGGTGGCACACATCTTTAATCCTAGCACTTGGGAGGCAAAGGCAGGTCGATTTCTGTGACACTGAAGCCAGCCTTGTCTACAGAGCAGTTCCTGGACAGCCAGAGCTGTTAGACAAAGATGCCCGTCTCACAAAAAAAAAAAAAAAAAAAAAATCAGTTCTGCAGCTTCAACTTCCCAATAGATTACAGGTATGTGCCACCACACTTAGCTTGAATTATTTTAAAGCCCTTTTGGGATGTTCTGTGTGTTTCTACCAAGAGCTGTAAGAGGTCAAGTGTGAGGAGCTCGCCTTGTGCCCTTAGAAAGAAGCACTGCAGTTGGGCAGTGGTGGCACATGCCTTTCATCCCAGCATTCAGAAGGCAGAGGCAGGTGGATCTCTCTGAGTTCAAAGAGAGCCTGGTTCTACAGAGCGAGTTCCCGGACAGGCTCCAACGCTGTCTTGAAAAAACAAAAACAAACAATAACAACAAAAAAGAGGCATTGCAGCAAAGAGAACTACACAGACATAGCCTTTTTCCCCCTTCTTTTTATTATGAAAACAAAACAAACACCCCAGGAGAAAGGTTCATGATTACCAGAGACACCAGAGTACTTCCTACCGTTTTTAACTCTGTGGTGTTGAGGCCGGCATTGCAAAAAACAAGCTAAAACTACTTACAATGGACTCATTTTCAGTAACTGACATTTACAGGAATATACTAGAAACGGCACTAAAAAGTTTAAGAAAAGTTACGGTAAACTTGCATGCACATCATACAGAAAAGAAACATTTTAAATATATATATAAAAAAAGAAAAGCTTCTGGAAGTGTTATGCCAGCAGCAGGGACAATGATAAACAGGATGACAAAGCTTTAACAGTGGGTTTGTTTCCCAAATGACTGTAAAAGGTGTGACAGCTGCAAAAGGAAAAACCAAGAAAAACACAGAAAAAAAATGTCTCCAGTCTGTAAGCAAGCTAAGTTACACAGCCTGAGGAGATCTGATCCCTTGGCCTCCAAGACTCTGCCAAGTGCCTACCCCACCCCTGCATGTAACCCTCAAGGAAGTCATGGACAGCTGCCCTCCACCTCTGTACAGGACAATCTAAGTCCATGTAGCCTTTGTAACTCACAAGAAGGGAATGGTAGTTACCCTGCAGCCTGGCATTGTGGGAACCAATGTCCTCCAAAACTCTGGAGACAAAACAGTTTAAGTCTAGACAGAAAGCTAAAAAAAAAAAAAAAAAAAAAAAAAAAACCTTAAAAGCACCAATGACAGAAGCTGCTCAGTAGGGACCACAGTCGTGGAAATGCCAGACCCTCCATCCTGTGTAACCAGCTCTACACCTCTTCCCCGCTGCTGGGATGCCACTCCAGAGCCAGACTCTGCTTGCCTAACAGCTCACAGAGGCACCCTATGCAAGCCCAGGCACTGTGCCTTGCCCAGGCATGCTGGCTAGGCTGTCACGGTAGGCCACCACTGAGACCCCATGTGAATGCCTGTCAATTTCCTCATGTTTATTTCTTAGTCACAGCTTAAATATTCTATTAAAGATCTGTTTAAAAAATACCTTTGAAAAACAAGGGTAACTTTAAAAAAATGGAACCTTAAAATCCACTTATATTTTTATTATAAACAAAACTGGCTTACAAGTTTAACAAACTGACTGATAACTCACCAGGCGTCTAGACATGGTAGCCAGCCAGCCACTTCCCGAGCTTGATGCCCACTGCCTGCCCACATTCACTACTGGGCTAGTGGGACTGCTTTTAGGAGTTTTAAACTTCTCCCATGTGGGATGTTAAGGGTCCCTGGCTCTGCCTAGAAGCAAAGGAAGAAACTGCAGAGACCCCACCACAAGTAAAACCATACAACACAAGGCTCTGCACTTGGCTCTCTCAGGTGGGGGTCAGGAGAATCAGTTTACTGGGCTAACTGGAAATTCTTGAACAGGGACCCCTGCGATCATCAGGCTCACCTTTGTCCCTGTCAGAAGTAGAGAGGTCAGGAAGAGCCTCTGCAGGCTGGAGAGGCAGGTACTTACAGGCCTGGGAGATTGGCCCATGTGCTCCTGGCTGAGGCCACAATGCTCAGAGCTAATCCAGGCTGACCCTGAATTCCAAAACCATTTGGCAGCCTCCACAACAACAAACTGACCAGAACTTTCTGTTAAACTCTGTATATTATTACTTTTTACAATAGAAAATTAAATGTCAAGGACTTGGCCTGATATACATCGTTTTTCTCTCAGCTTACAAAGCTTGTGTTGAAGAACCGAGGTTCCCTCCGTTGATGTTAGTATGAAAGAACTGAACAGACAACATAAAATGAGGATGTGCTGCAGCCGAAGGGTGTCTACATTTGTAAAATCCCCAAAGTTCATCTAAAACAAAACAAACAAAAAAACAAAAAAAACCCAGAGAGCCCAGACGTGATGAGCACCAGAAGGGCACGCCGCCACAGGACCAAATCTTCTCACCACGGGTCCAGTCTCCTCGTCGCCAGAGGCCTGTATTTCCACTACTTCTCTTAATGCACTTATTTATGGTTTTTTTCTTTTCTTTTTTTTCCTTTTTTTTTAAAAATGACCAATGATGTTAATAAATAAAGTATTTATATATACATAAAACTGGGGAGGTGGTTCAGAGTGTGAGGTGGCGGCAGCCAGGCAGCGCTAGCAAAGTGGGGCACGCTGGACTGGACTTCTGTAGAAAATGGATGAACTTACAAAAAAGTTTTTTGTTATTGTTTTCTATTTTGTTGTTTTTTTTTTAATCTTTTTGTTATTTGTTTTATTCCCTTAAGTTGAGGTAAAGTTTCGGTGTCCCGAAACCTGCACGCTGCACAGCCATAGGGCCAGAGAACTCGGCACCCCTCTTCCTCCACACCCAACCCAGAGGTGGGAGGCTCTGGTCTGCAGCTACCAGGACCCTCTACTGGGGCCCAGCCTGGTTTCTGTGGGCTGACACACCTGTCCTCAGCCCCTGCAGAGAGAAGTAACCTGTTGGTTAGTGTTCTAACAGCTTTCAAACACAGAACCCATTCTAGACCAAAACCCTTGAAAGGCTTCCTCCAAGTTACTAAGGGCGAGGCTGGGCCTGAAGAGGTATTGGACAGGTCCAGCCACACCTCCCACTGTGTCTATGGTTATCAGGTTAGCATCCCAGGCCGCAGTCTCCAAACAACTAAACCAAGCTGCAAAGGCATTTCCCACAGAGCTCGGCCCTCTCTTGGGGTCTGGTGCACGTGCGAGGCTCTCCGCCCTACCGGAGCACAGCTGGAAGAGATCATAACACTGAAGTAAAAGAAAACCTGCACACCATGGAACGAAAGTATATTAACCATAGGAGGGGACACTGCAGTCGGCGTGTGCCACGTCCATCTGTCCAGCTCTGTTCCAGTCCGAGTTCACTCTGAGTCACTGCTGTCGGAGCTGGACCCACTGGAGCTGCTGCTCGCAGACTCAGAGGAGCTGCTACTGCTGAGCCTTGATGGGCCTCCTGAGGGCGCTGAGCTGGACTTCTCTGTAGGGACAGCAAGGAGGCCCTCGCTGAGCAGTGTGTGATCAAAAGTGTTCACGCCACTACCCTGTCACAGGTTATCTGTGTCTTGACCCAGAGGTACAGCAAATATATGAAGGATGCTCATAAAATAG